AAAAAAGTAAAAATCCTCGCAACTGGACCTATAAGCAGCATCACAATGAATGGAGAAAAGATTGAGGTTGTCAAAGAATTCATATTGCTTGGTTCTACAACTGACGCCAGTGGAAGCAGCAGTCAGGACATTAGACAATGTATAGCACTGGGCAAGTCAGCTGCAAAGGACCTCTTTCAAGTGCTGAGGAGCAAAGTTGTCTCCTTGAGTACTAAGGTGTGCCTGACACAAGCTGTGATATTTTCAATCGCCCCATATGCAGGTAAGAGCTGGAAAATGAATACGGAAGACCGAAGAAAAGTTGATGCTTTTGAGTTGTGGTGCTGGCAAAGAATACTCAAAGCACCATGGACCGCTAAAAGAGCTAACAGATCTGTCCTGGAGGAAGTACAGCTGAAATGCTCCTTGGAAGTGAGAATGGCCAGACTTCGTCTCACCTACTTTGGTGATGTTGTTAGAAGGGACCATTCCCTGGAGAGGGATATCATGCTTGGTAAGGTGGAGGGTCGACAAAAGAGGGGAAGGGCTTCAACAAGATGAATTGACACGGTGGCTGCAACAATGGGCTCGAGTATAGCAAGGGTCATGGAACTGGCACAGGATTGGGCAGTGTTTTGTTCTTCTGTGCATAGGGTTGTTATGAGTTGGAAATGACGCAACGGCACCTAACAACAATTTTCAGATGTAGATCACTAGCCTTCCTAGTACATATCAGCTTAGAAGCTCTACTGAAACCTTCCATAATAGGTAACTCTGCTGGTATTTGAAATATGGTTGCATAGATTCTGGCATCCTAGCAATACATAAGCCACCACAGAATGACAAACTGACAGAAGGGTGATGAACAACAGTGGGAAAATGGGGGAAAAAAATCTTATTCTATCCTTATACTGGGAGCTCTGGTAGGATAAGGCACTTGATTACTGCAGTGAATTGCTTGATGTGGCCCTTCTAGCCATTGTCCTCCATTCTGTGGTGTTTTGTAAATCCCATTATCCATGCCTGTTTGGGGGTGCTGTGGTAGTTAAGGTCAAGTATCAACTTGGCTGGGCAGCTGGTAGTAGTCATTCCCTATAATGACTGGCAATCAACTCTGTGACGGGATTTAGGTTA